AATAATATGACATTTCAACTTACCTTTCAGAATCTAAATAGTTTTCCCAAATGGGCCATCAGACTACGGATAATAAATTGTGTTTAAGCTTTAATCGCGTACACAGAGCCTCAAGAAGTCTTTTAGAACCGTGACATAAATCTCAGTTCTCGATCAGGAATTATAGACAAGGGAACCTCTAAAGGACGGACAATCTCAGAAGTAACTAAGCAACATAAATAGATTTAGTTCAAACCGAAATAAAATGAATTGACCTGTCCAGATGATCAATAAAACACAAACTGAATCTTACTCGGACAAAGTCAAAAACAATCCTCTGAAAAAGTGTACAATTACTCATTCACAAATCCATTCGAAAATCTGTATGGATTGAAATAAACTAGGCAAAAATAGAATTTCAGTGTTCTTACTTTCAGTGTAATACAAATGTTATATCCCTTTAGTTTTTAGAGTATATCTGATACACATAAAATTCTTATATACAGTCCCGTTCAGAATACGTGAAAACTTATACTCAAATTTTAGGATAATGAACATCAAATGCAGAGTTATCAATTTCGAGGATGAGGTATGATAATGTTGAGACACTTTTCCCAACGGGAATCCAAGTTTATAGTTGTTTTGATTATATCTTACAAAAACGTAAGATTACTAGGCCTAAATTTGCAGTAGATCCTTGTTTGAAGGGTATTTTGTTTCAAGCTTCAGGAGTGGGTTGCTCTAACTTTTGAATTTAAAAGGCTGCAAAAGTCTCAGGAATCTTCCAACCAAGATTGGAATGGAATCTCTTGAAACATTCATTCTTTCGGGTTGCTCTAATCTTCGAAAGTTTCCAGAGATTGATGGGAAAATGGATTGCTTGTTGAAACTTTATTTAGATGGGACAAGCATTGAAGAACTTCCCTCTTCAATTGGAAAACTGAGCCGTCTTGTTGTGCTAAATTTGACAGATTGTTGTAGCCTTGTGTACACTCTTAATCTTTCTGGTTGTTATAAAGTTGAAAATTTGCCAAAGAACTTGCAGCAAGTAGAGGTTTTGGAAGAGCTTGACTTAAGTGAGACAGCCATAAGAGAACCACCACCCTTCATTTTTCAATATAAAAATCTCGAAGTGCTGTCTTTCAGTGGATTCAAGTGCCCTTCATCTAAGTTGCTACAAAATCTCGCTTCTCTTTTCCATGTAATGCAAAGTAGGACAAATTCCAAGCCTCTGCTGTTACATTCATTGTCTAGTTTGAGTTCATTAACAATGCTGAAACTGAGGGACTGCAATCTTTGTGAAGGAGATATTCCCAGTGATTTTTCTTGTCTATCCTCTTTGAAACGAGTTGATCTTAGTGGTAACAATTTCATCAGCATACCTCCGTCCCTTACTCGACTTTCTGAGCTTGAATAACTTAGACTATCAAATTGTGGCATTTGCAATCTTTGTGAAGGAGATATTCCCAGTGATTTTTCTTGTCTATCCTCTTTGAAACGACTTGATCTTAGTGGTAACAATTTCATCAGCATACCTCCGTCCCTTACTCGACTTTCCAAGCTTGAATATCTTGGACTATCAAATTGTGGCATTTGCAATCTTTGTGGAGATATTCCTAGTAATATTTCTCATCTGTCATCTTTGACAGATCTTGATCTTAGTGGTAACAATTTCATTAGCATATCTCCGTCCCTTACTCGACTTACCAAGCTTGATTATCTTAAATTGTCGAATTGCAAGGGACTTGAATTGTTGCCTGAGTTTGTAACAAATATAAGAAATGTGAGCATAAATAATTGTGCTTCTCTGGAACCAGTTGCAATTCCATCGAAAGTACGCAATTCAATGGATTCAATGCATTCACATTGCTGAAAAATTATCTTAAGGTTGGTTAATATCTCTCTTTCTCTCACAAAATCTCATACTTGATTATCTAGTTTTTGTTACTATTACTAATCAACAGGAGTTATGTTCTGCAGGTATTTGCAAACTCAAGGAAAATAGCTAGTATTATCATACCAGGAAATGAAATCCCAGAAGGGTTCTGTAACACCTCAACCCGTACCCGACCCGAATACGAGTTCGAGATGTCACATTGACCTTTTAAAACAATATTCGTATAAAATAACAGAACATTTGAACTTGTATTAATAAAATATGATCATATATTTTTGAATTATGTTCGTTAAAATCAATTTGAAAACAATACGTTTTCATGAATAGTAAAATACGGTATGAACAGTACCGTATGAACAATAATGAACAATACCGTGAACAATACCCGAATGCTAAAATTTTCCAGAATGCTGGAGGGGTACCGATACCCTACTACAGGGTACCGATACCCTGCTACAGTACTGATACAATACTATTACAGTACCTCGGCAAAACATGTATAAAACTCAAAATTTAAAACGTTCATCATTATACATTTACCATTTACATATATACGTTTAAAACATTCTAAAACTCGATCAGAGCGTATTCAATACAAATCCTTTTTATTACATGCCAACTAAATTCTATCTAATAAAATACATATAATTTGATTTACATTTATGATCTGATCTTCGGTAAGGAGAACTGACATGTCTTGTTCCTCTTTACTTCTCTTTTCGCTTTCCAAACCTACGTGTGAAACAATCACACGCTAAGTCGATGACTTAGTGAGGCATATAAAACATATAATAAAATCATAGAACATTTCTTATAACAAAATGCATACATGCATATATACCCTCCTTACCTCATTTCGTTATCATTAACATGCTTTTATCGTATAATCATATACTTATCATTTATACACATCATATATCATTTCATAAAGAAATACACATTACATAATATAATTCATGTAATACAGTTCATATAACTAAAAGCATATGCATAACATTCATTGTATTCATTGTTATCTCTTTATTAGCCCATGTACACCTGTGAGAACTTAAGGTATGTGAGTACATTGAGGTTGTACACTACTATGCTATCACCACATCTCGTATAAATGTCCCGAAAGACCTATCCAGAGGTCATAAAAAACCTTGACAACTGTCCATAGGTTCCGAAGAACTTAGGTAAACTGTCTATATGTTCCTTAGAACATAGGTAAACTGTCCATATGTCTCGAAAGACATAGGTAACCCTTGACTCTTGGCATGCCAACTATACCCCTAGCTCTCATATCATATAACATGGGCGTTATATTCATATCACTTCACATATTCACATGTACATTTCACTTTTCATATGATTTCATAATCATATGTCACTTAGCTTATAACACTTCTCTTGTGTTCATATGACATATAAATCATTGTCATCTCTTGTTCTCATATGCTTCACATACATCACATATATCACATTCATATCACCTATTCAAATAGGCTCACGGTTTTATCACCTATCATGTCATCTCACATATACACTTTTATATCGCATAAACCCATATCTTCTTATCACATAGCTTCTTTTTATATCATTCACCTCATATAACTTATTGTCACATAATCTCCTTTTACCTTATCAGTAAATACTACTTATTTTATTTCATCTTTCTATTTATTTACATAAGCCACATAGCACTTACAAGAACATATTCACTCAAATAATCAAGCATACATACATTTCATGTCATTCATATTACATATACATGTAATCATGTCACATACAATAGCATTTTAAGAGTTACTTCTTACCATAGTAACTCCGTCACTGGCTCATCACAAGCCAATGTTCTTCTATAACATAAGCACAAATTAAATTGCACTCACCTTAGCCTTGCTTTGATTCGATCCTAATTCTTTGATTGTTCCGGAACTTGTTCACATTCAATGTCTACATAACCATACATTTTAAGGTAATTATTAGATATCTACACCTTGTAATTTGATACTAATAGCCTAAACGAATTTAATAAACCCATATTCACTTTTTCCTTTAGGGGTATCGGTACCTCCCCTTAGGGTATCGGTACCCTTATAAAAATCTGTAAATTTTGCCCATAAATCACAGTTCATGCACAAAAATTCACTATTTCAACTTCAATTCTTCATGTTTCATTCCCTTTCATATTCTTAACTCAAATATACATACTTAAACTAATTTCTACTCATTTATCACATCTTAAACCTCAAAATCTTCTCCTCTTTATGAACTTCAAGAATAATACCCAAATTTCAACATGTTTCAAATCCAATTATAACACTTAATACTTCTTAATTAAGCTGATAACAAGTCAAATTTAACTTCAAATTCAACTTATCAACTCTATTTCAAGATTTCACCCAAGAACTCCAAATCTTTAATCTTCCCTAACTCCTTTATCTTTTGATTTTAAGATAACTTAAGCTTTCCTTAAGCTTAGTTATCATCTAATGATCAAAACCCAAACTTTAAATCAACAAAATAGAAAACTCACCTTTGCTCTAGTTTGGGCACGTTGGAGAAGAAGAAAGCAAGAGGAAGAAGATAACTCTCTTCCCCCCACGTGAATCATTCATATAAAGGGAGGAAAATATCTTTCTTGTCAAATGACCATTTTACCATTTAATTCATTTGATAATTACTAACAACTTTAAGGAAATATCTCCACATAAATCATTGAACTATTTAAATATTCTACTTTTATCCCCAAATTCTAAAATTTTACAATTTAGTCACTAACCCGTAGTTTGGGATGTTACAGGTTCAGCCATGAGAGAGTTGATCGTTCAATCAAAATACCACTGCCTCTCAATATTTAAAATTGTAGTCAATGGATGGGAGTTGCTTTTTGCTGCATTTTTGTCAATGATGATGCTTCGAGGGATGAGATTATAGGCTGTAAAGCTGTTATCCATCGTAGAAACTTTGGACAAGTTGCTTGTAATGAATCTGTTTTCCTAGACGGAAATTACCGACGTGTAGATGGTTGTGGCTTTAGTTTACGTAAAGGATATAATCAGCCCATAAAAAAGGACCACCTTTTCCTTTGTTTCTGGCCGCGTGACCAATTATATTCATCTTCCTTTGAGGCTAAATATGATGAAAGTGAGACCGAGAATTCATCAACATCAGGTTGCTCAAACCAGGAATGGGATGAACTTGAATTGTCAATGACAGGCAATAGTAGTCGCAACTGTGTTAAGGTGAAGAAATCTGAAGTTCGAATCGTGTATGAAAAAGATCTAGAAGATGTCCAACTTGTCAAAGAAAGTTGTGAAGAAATTGAAGATATGGATGAAGACTCTGCTATTGATAGATTAATAGCCAATGACGGTTCCCTTGGAAAGCGAGAACGTAATACGATGGAGGCAGGGCCACAACCAAAACGAACGAACAAAATTTTCAGTTTTCTAATGGGTCGACCTGGGAAGAAACATGAATTCCGGCAAACTACTCTTCAATAATCTTGTCTTAAATCTTAATAATTCTTGTTACCAGGCATTTGATCTATAGCATTAGCATTTTACCAATAATTTAGTAGAAGATTAAAAAAACCTGAGCATACTTGTATCAGATGTGACACAAAGTCTCACAGATGCACCATGAATTTGGCTACCATAAGCATTGATATTGTTCATACTTGTTTCCTTTTCGTTTGTGTATATATGCATATGATTGGTTGCTTACAATAATGTTTTTCTTTCGCCACATATCTGTTATCGCTTCACTTTTTTGTGCATAAAGAAGCAGGTTAGAATCCTAGTTCAAATGTTTCACCAGCTGAAACTATTTTCTGATCATCATTACTGATAGACATTGTTATGTCTATGGTGTCCACTGCAGTAGATATGCTTATTAGATTAGGCAGAAAATAAGAGGCAAAAAGAAGTATCATTAAGCATCCACTGTTGGGATGCAATATGTTGTAGATAGAAAAGAAGGCTATGATTGGCTCAGGATTAGCTCATATGAAATGGATCTTTTACTTGCATCTCCGCTTTGTTGAAGATTTTATAGTTGATGTTATCATATTATCGAGCCGAGCCAAACTCTGATAGTGGCAAGCTTAAGCTCGAATCAAAATTTGGGGTTCAATACTCGACATGAACTCGATTGAACATCTTTGTGATACACTCTTAGGATGAAGTTAGGATGGAACTTAAACAGGTATGGTCGTATGGATCGATCCATGTCATTCTGGAAGAACCCTGAGGATCCTTCTCGTAATTTTACATTTGGGTTTGACTTTTGAAATTGGTGGGATTTCAAGGGGAGAAACTCAGAGAATGATCCATTGTGCACATTCGTTCAGGCCATTGGAATGGAATGCAGTTTAGTGGCACAAATGGACTGAAGCTGAACTCCATATTTATATTCGAGTTTGTGTTTAATAAGGAGATATTATGGCTTCAAGCTTCGCAACAGCTCAGTTCCTTGGAGGATGGTGTTAAACGTTAGTGGATTCTGGCAACGCCTCGTTTGGATTCACAGAAAACAAGATTGGGATGTTTATACAATAGAAGGATAACTGTGAAAATTATGGATTATGTGGTGCATTTGGCAGCCGCAACATAAGAAGCCATTAGTCATGAGATTAATTTGTTTGGTTTTCTATGTAATGATAGATAGTTTGGTCGTTTATTTTTATGTAGTAACTATGTTACTTATGTTTCTGAGGCACCTAAAAACTGTCTTATCTAGTTTAACCAGACAATTTATTGTTTGTAATTTATTGGTATTTCATATTGATTTGCTTGATTAGTAGAACATATATCCACGGATGCATTCTTTTCATGATCCACAACACAGCCACTATATCAGTTCGATGATATCCATGGATGTGTTGAGAATTTCATTCATATCAAGGGTACCACTGCCATTAATGTATTAGTTTTGGTCTGAACATTTAGCCCTGCTTTTTGTTGAAGAATACCAAGACAAGTTTGAAGAGATCAGATCTTACATGTTGCAGTATAACCCTTAACCAGAGGAAGGGCATTTTGTTTCAAGCTTCATCAGTGGGTTGAAAGAACTCAGGCCGAGGGTTAAAGCCAATGAGCCAAGGGCATAACTGCTGCATATAGACAAGCCAATCTTCATGGATTGTCACCGGAGATAGAAACTAAGAAGTTAAAGCCGACCTGCAAAACAACCCAAAACCCACATCACAATTGAATTTGTTGGGAGAGGAGGCAAATGGTATACATAAAGAAGTGCTTGAGGAGACAACAGTAGTATTAACTCCATAGCCAGGTTCTGAATGAGCACGAGGTGTCTTTGAAGATTTCGATCATCAACGACAAACAGCATGAATCATAGCACACTTCGAATTCAAGGGGGCGGTAGTACCCATAAGGTTCTGAATGAGCACGAGGTGTCTTTGAAGATTTCGATCATCAACGACTAACAGCATGAATCATAGCACACTTCGAATTCAAGGGGGCGGTAGTACCCATAAGGTTCTGAATGAGCACGAGGTGTCTTTGAAGATTTCGATCATCAACGACAAACAGCATGAATCATAGCACACTTCGAATTCAAGGGGGCGGTAGTACCCATAAGGTTCTGAATGAGCACGAGGTGTCTTTGAAGATTTCGATCATCAACGACTAACAGCATGAATCATAGCACACTTCGAATTCAAGGGGGCGGTAGTACCCATAAGGTTCTGAATGAGCACGAGGTGTCTTTGAAGATTTCGATCATCAACGACTAACAGCATGAATCATAGCACACTTCGAATTCAAGGGGGCGGTAGTACCCATAACTTTATCACTCCAAAGTGGACAAAGGATAGTGTTGAACTAGTAAATACACAACCACTAGCAATGACGGTGGAAAGTGGGGATAAGCTATTTAGCATTGCAAAATGTGAACAACTTGCTTAGACAATGATTGTGTTGAGAATTTAGTTGAATTACTGTGATTGCTCATCGTTTAATCAAATATGACTAGCATTTTTCTCCAAAGCTCTTCGAACTGAGTGCTGAAAACGTGTAATATTGGCTTTTAAATAATATACAAAATCTTTTTCTTGTCAATATGGGATCTCTACTGGTAACTTGAATCAGTATTCTTTTATTTGATCATATTGTTACCTTGTACACATACCCGAAACCTCCTTGAGGATGTTCAACTTAGCACATGCTTTGACCGACCGTTTGAGTTTTCTTCTTCTTCTTCTTCTTCTTCTTCTTCTTCCCATCCTCATTCTCAGCAAGAACAACACATGCTCAAGTACTCGTCAGCAACGACCTAAACTTGTGTTCTCAACCCTCGCCTCAAATAAAAACTGAATCTCCTCTTCACATTTTTATGTTTTCGGTCTCCAAATAACGAAACTCGTTCCTGTATTTTCGACGATAAAAGAAGAAGCTGTAACATAAGAAGCTCCCCTATATGTTGTTCTTTGAAAGGATTTCTGTCAAAGTTTCCAGATGAATGGGACAATTTTCTTTTGCCTTAGATAGTTGCCTAACATTTTCTCAAACTCTAAACAGAGGATATCAGTTGTACATTCAATTGGATTATGCATAACGTACAGAAATAATTCTTTTTTAAATGCAAAGTAGAATAAATATAAAATAATTTAGTTGAGAGATTTACGTTGCTCCTCTATTAAATCAAATCTAAAAAACTTGCCAACTATACATATGGAGGATACGACATTACTACCCCAGGCTTGGCATGGGGAGGGAGCCGCTAAGTTCTATTTGATTGTGAAATTTGCTACCCACTGATTGAGAATGGGGTGCCCTTAAAGGCCAAGAATGAGCAGAACATGGGGATCCAGACAGGCAGAGTCATCCCATGCTCTCAAACAGTGCTCATCCTGTAGGGCAATGTTAATGTATAATATTTGCTTATTTAAATAATACACAAAATCTTGTACTTGTCAATATGGGATTACAACTTCCGGCAATTTGAATCTAAATTACATCCTTGGGTCATTCTATTATCTGTCATGCATTGAGAATATAAGAATCATTACTGCATGAAACGTCTTCTGAAAGAAAACAGTAGTCATAAGCATGGATTTCAATAAAAGGCTATGGTATTTGATCATATTGTTACCTTGTACACATACCCGAAACCTCTTTCGAGTATGTTCTTGATCGAGAAGTTATTTGCTGCACCAGTAAAAACTGTTAAATCAAATATTGGTAACTCATGATCTTCTTTGCAGTTTTGATGATCAGACCAGGGATAGGCCTGAAATAAGCATTCCTGCGGATGATGCAGCTGCAATTATTGTTATGTTCATCAATTGGTTGGTTTGTTTCAAAATTCAAGGCTTGTTTCGCATATTCGTACCTAGTTCTGATGCAGCAGCCTTCAAATAGATATCTTGATCATTGTCAGTTATATATATAGCGTGTATCGATAAGACCATTAAACCATAGCAAGCACCCACTCCCTCCATTTGCTATGTTCGAATTCGTATAACCCATGCATGGGACTCGAACCTGAAATATTAAGATTCTGAAAGACTCATGCATGTTGTTTTCATAACTTGGCAAAAGCTGGAGATGGATCACCGTTATAGTGGCAATAGTTAACGTGAGAAACCAGTAGTCATGAGATTAATTTGATTGCTTGTATGTGATGATAGATAGTTTGGTCGTTTGTTTGTATGTACTATGTAGTAACCATGTTACTGAGGCACCTAAAAACACCATCTTATCTAGTACTTAAATTATTAGTTGCGGTCTATTTTAGTATCTAAATTTTTTTTTTCAAAACTTAACGTTAAATTTTGAACGGATATTAAAATGAAACAAAAATTAAACTCAGATATGATTTTGAAAAATTTAAAAGTTTAGATATTAAAGCGGACCAAACTGATACTTTATGTACTAAATACGCAATTTACTCTATATTATATAAATATGCTAGACATCAAATTTATAAAATACAAGAATCATTTTAGAGTATAAATTATTTTTTAATTTATTTAAATGTTTAAATGACAATAAATTAAAAAAAATGAACTTATCTTACATAAGATGGAGATATTTCCAAGGCAAATCCCACCGCCTTAAGGAATCAAAACGACAGGCCGTTTTGGTTCCTTCCAAATGACAAGTTATCACGTCAACCGCCGTTATAGTTTAGAAAATATCCTTTCCTTTCCAACTAAAAAAGAAAAAATTTAAAAAAGGGGTAAACTACATTTATCGGTCACCCAATTATTAGAGGATTTCTCTTTTGATAACTAAACAATTCAGTTTTTCAATTTAGATCATAATATTAGGAAATTTGATCAATCAAGTCATGGTCTATTAATAACTAAAATGATGATTCATCACATTTTTACTTGATATAACAATTATAACCTGGGATGGACAGGCTGGGTGAGTGGGGAAGTCGCCTCCTAAAAATCTAAAATTATTATATATTTTTTTATTAAAGATTTGTTTTCGTTTCTTAAAATCTAAAATTATTATGAATTTTATAAGTTCAAGTTTGTTCCCTAAAATTTTATAAATTTAAGTTTACCATAACATAAAATCTTGCGTATGTAAAATATTTTTACATAAATTTCAGTTATGTTTAGATGTTGAGATTTAGAAAGGCCTTGAAATGAACAATTGCGAAATTTCAAGAATCCTAATCGAAAAAATCAGCCTCATAATTAGTTATGTAAACGAATTGAATGTTCGGCGAACTGTTCGTGAATCGTTTGGTGGAAAGTTTTTTTATTTATTAAATGAATGAACATGAATAAGATTAATGTTCGTTTAATTAAATGAACAAATGGCTCGTTCATTCATTTACGTTCATGAACATTTGATAATTCGTTCATTTATGTTCTATCGTTTATATTCAGTCCATTCTCTAGTCCTATTTGAAATACTAAGACTTAATAAATTTTAACATTAAACTCATTAATATTTTAAAACCCAATTAATTTTAAACTCAAATAAAAAACTCAAATCAATTAAAGAAAATATAAACCCTAAAGTTGTTTTTGGAAAGAAAAATAATTTTTCTCAAGTATAAATCCAGTTAATTTTATGCTTGTTCATTTATATTTGTTTACGTTCGTTCGTTTATGTTAATTTACGTTCGTTCGTGTTTGTTTATCATTTTAACGAACGAACACGAACGAACATGAACATGCTAAATTTCTTAATGAACGAACACAAACAATAAATTTTATTCATTTAATTGTTCGTGTTCGTTCATTTGTTCGATTAAAGTTAAACAAACGAATATGAATATATCTTCGTTCGTATTCGTTCGATTAAAGTTTGTAGGCATCATGTGTAAGAAGAATAAAATTGCGAATTTTCTAGCATCGATGACTCGTGAAAGGACGGTGGGACATATCCTCCTCCATCACCCTCCGATTGAAGGTGCAGAACTACATGATTTGATTGATTCGATTTTCTTAATGTTAGTGATTTAATTGAAAACAAAATTAGTTTAGTGATCAAAATTTATAAAATAATAGTTGGGTGACCAACAGACTTGTTTACCCTTTTATTTTATTTTATTCTATAAATAGTCTTATCTTGAACTCTTTTGATTCCCTGTTCATTTATAGTGGACTTTTTCTTTTTAAGAAATAATTTATTCGAGTCACCGAAATGGGCGGAGGAGGAGTCATGAGGGCGGTTGGAAAGGTCTCCGGCGTCGGAATTCTGAACTCCAACCTTCGTGGTGGTGTTCACGTTTCTCCACCGGCCCCCGAGAAATCTGTTATGCGTGTCGCTGCCGCGACTCGGTCGGCTTCTTCGTCTCAGATTGCTTATTCTAGTGAAGGGGCTTCGTCTGTTTCCGACAAGACAGCGTCGGCCAATCAAAAGTCATCTTGGGAGTTGGTGGATGACTGGGAATTTGCCGGTGGTGTTGAACAGGAGGTGGCCTCGGAAGGGCCGACCTCCGCCTACGGCAGAGGCGAGCCGATTGCTCGGGTGCTGTTTGGTGGCGTCCCAAGCCTGGAGGAGACTCGAGAAGCCACTGCTGATTTGAAAGATGCACTGGACAAGTAAATTTGATTCCTTCATTAGATAATTCCAGAATTCTTCCAAGCCCTTTTGATGGATGATTTTCAGTAGTTCTTATGGATTTGAACCATTGATTGTCTTCTTCATTGGATACTTAGTTATAGGAACCGTCAACAAACAATTATTGATCAAGCTGAAACTACTAATTATTGCTTTATAGGATAAATATGTTGAATTTAAAGCGTTTTGCTGACTATTGCTGCAGTGTATATTTTCATCCTCTGTGTCCGTTTTACTGTTTATATTTATGGTTCAAATCCGAGTTTGAAATGTTACTCTTTCAATCTAAATTATGATGTATGAAACGTCACCTAAAAGCTGCTTTTAGTGGCAAAGAATTAGAAAATATGTTACCAATTTTGGGTACCATTGACTTGTAAAAAATGTTATCAAGAACCCCAAACTGTTATTCTTGATCTGTTGGGGATTGTTTTGGTTATGGTTCGATTTTTTATTTCAGGGTTTATCCGTCATCTTCGATCGACGGTGGTGCTGGTCAGGCGTCTGGTGTTTCATCGCTTTCAAGCTCCGAGGAGACCAAAGATTGTGTAGCTTATAATGTTGGAGCCATTTCAGCACCACAATCAGCTTTTCAGGCATTCAAGTTGCTCAATGAGAATCCTGCAGTTCAGGTTGTGGTCATGTCTTTGCTCTCCCCTTGGTGTTCTACTTTTTGAATAATTGTTAATAGTGTTGTTAGGAGCACTTCCTCTGAGTTGGGTGCTAGTGTTGGGTATCCTCGTAGGGTATCGAATGCCAGAATACTGTAAGCAAAATCGAAGATTAGTGTAACATGGTCTTTTATACAATTATACTTATAAGTTTATTCTAGCATGCTGTATTTGGTTGTTGATTTTGTAATCTTTCTTTTATGGATTTACTTCCGTTTCCTGCAATTATAAACTATAACATGGTTCATGGTTCTGGCCTTCTGATTTTCCTCTCAGTCTGTTGTTGCTTCCATCGCCGCTGATCCGAATGTATGGAATGCTGTCCTGACCAATTCAGCTTATATGGATTTCATCAAATCCCAGCAGAGCTGTGAGAACTTTTGCTCTATTGCTTTCATTATTTTACTCATCTTTACCATTCGCTTGATTTTAAAACAAATGTGTTTGCAGACGATAAGTTCGAATATCAGGTATCTCCCGGGAGTTCTGAATCTTCAGTGAAGATAGAGGAATATAAAGACAGCGATGGTGGAGATCCATTTTCAGATTTTCTACAGAAAATCAAGACTAGCGTGGTGGAGATGGTGAGTAAAGCGACTAATTTCCTCCATAGCCTCTTTACTTTACCCCCATCGGAAAAGGTGAAAGAAAATGCCGGGTCGAACGGTATGGATAAGACAATCGGAGCTAGCTTGTTCGGATTGGCAGTTATGGTTATTATGGTGGTGGTTCTGAAAAGAGCGTAGAATATAAAATTTTCATATCACACTGTGAAGTGAATTTGCTGATATTACAGACTCAAACTTCCTCTGGTTTTTATACAGTCATGGATGAATGACAATGATGATGAACATTAGCATACTACTTCCTCATCATATGATTTTTCATGTAACTTGAAGTACACTATTTGCTTGTGTCCAGTCCGGTCGACACGATCGACCGACCGAGATTTTCCGATTAGCTGCACTGAATTGTGAAGGAATTTGAATATATGGTTTTTATTTTTCAATAAATTAAGGAGATTCTTAAGATAATATAGAATCCATTAAACAAATTAATTTCTAAATTAGATTAACCAATTTCTATATTTACAATAACATTAATTACAAAACCTCAAGTCTCTGTTATAAAAACCTTATATTTCTTGCTCCATTCTCATTTTCCTACAAACCAAACAAGATGGCCAATCAAACTAGCAATCTTTCTCCCCAAACCCTTCTTATCATAACCCTAATTTCTCTTCTCACCATCAACAGATTTTTCCATGAAACTGGAGCTCAAGAAACAGGCAAGGCCCTAATCGAATCGACCTGCAAAAAAACACAGTGCCCTGAAGAATGTATCTCAGCCTTGGAATCAGACCTTAGCTGTCACACCCTAATTTAGGGACTAAATTTTAGAAATTATAAAGTATTGAATTTAAGTGGTATTTTAGAAGAAATTGAGGATAAAGTGTAAAAGTGCAAAGTTGATAGATCATTTTAGGAAGTGTAGGAAATTCAGTGTCACAATCATGAATTTATCCATTTTTCTTATGTGTTGAATTATAAACTATTCCCTTGATAATTCTGTTTTTCCCAGATTCTTTTCCCCAAATTCCCTCCCTCGCCAACCCTTCTTTGAACTCTGATTTCTCCATTGTCCGGTCACCGTTCGTCGATCTGAAATCACCATCGTGTTCGTTGTCGACCGGTGAACAAAACCCTTCAAATCTCTCATCGTGAATCGTCGCCGTTCGCCGTAAAATTCAACTCAAAGTTTTGAAGTTTTTAAATCCCACCGCCGTGAATCGTATATTCGTCGTCGAACGTTGCTCCGTTTTCGACACCTCCCGCACCATCGTGTTCCTTGCATCGTTCCGAGTCCATTGGTGGCCCTAATGTGACACCTCAGATCGGATCGGGTCATCCACATTGGTCTGACTTCAATGCAAACTTAACAGGCTTAACCAGGATTGCTGTACATAAATCAGAATCCAAACTGATGAAACCTTGAACATTGTCAGCAAGTTGGCGATGAACGAGACGGATTATCTGACATGGGGATTCCTCGTCTTCTGTCGGGATTCTTACAATGCCAGCGTTCCTCAAATCCAGGCAGGCCTGCAGGCTTTCGATAAACTCGAGTTTGAGAAATCGTATCGGAGCGTCGAGGCTGTTAATAAAGCTGTCGTCGAGTGTGATAAACAGGGATTGAAGATGATATCGCAAGTTAATAGTGGGCTGTTTAGGCTCACCAAGGATGCTATGATCATCCTGGACCTCCTTTTCTAATCAAATCAATGTTTACGAGAAACATGTTTTTAAATGATCCACGAATAAAATCGTTAGACCAAGTCGGAGTATATTCTTCATTGCGAGTTTCTCTCACTTTTCATCGTCACGATAGAGTTAGAACAACCCTGAACTCCAAGGAGAAGATGATAAATATACCTGAAATTCATCCATTCAAATTTCGGATCAATTCTTAAATGTTGGCTTAAAACTTTAGGTCATTACATGTTGTTAGCTAGGATTACTCACATTTGGCAGTGTTTGGCTTAAAGTTTGCTTTAGATTTTGTTGGTGAGTGTGGGAGAAGTGTGCCAATTGCTGGCGAGGATGATGAATGATGGTGATTAAAGGTATGGTGAAAATGATGGATGATGGAGATGAAAGATGGACAGTGAGTGATTAAGGAGTAGTTGCTCGAGTTGGGGTAATAGATTCGAGTGAAACGGATGTTGAATTTGAATTTAGGATATTGTAACAGAGATCTAATGGTCGGTAACGACGATGATTGACACAGTGGCTGATCAAGATGAACAGTGATTGGAATCTAAGTTGACATTTATGTAATTAAAATTGTCAAGTAGATTGATTTTACTGACTAAAATATGAACAATTCAAAAGTTTAGTGATTAAATTAAAATTGTTTACATTTTAGTGACTAAAATATGAGTGAGAAGGAAATTGACTGATAAAAGTTGTATTTTACCCTTTAATTAAATCATTGTCTTTTTAAGTCGATCGATTTTTTCTGGCACCACAAGAGGGTTTTAGCTTAAAGCGTTAAACCCTGATTCTCCATTCCCACTAATATCTCCTCCATGGCTTTGAGGGCGGCGGCAGCGGCGACGAGATCAATGGTGGCCGGATCAGTTTTACCGGGATTGAGGCGGTTTTGCTCGACAACTTCGGCTAATTCCTTTATGCCGCCACCAATTGCAGCGATGGGGAACGGTGAGCGAACCCCTGGTCGAGAGCAAGCGCCTCCAAGCACCAATCTCTTTGTCTCCGGCACGTATCTCTTCTTTTCCGTCTATATCCAGCATACCTTTCATGTTTGCTCCTTTTATTTCATGAGTTGTTTTGATGTGTCTTATATGTAAAGTTTTTTTGGTTGGTTGCTTGGAAACTGCTGGAAATTGGAGGAAAAAGTTGTTTCTTTTAATGAGATTGATTTGTTGGTCCCTTCTGTGTTGTTGGTAAATAATGTTTATATATCGATTTGTTTGGTTCTTTTGCTTGTTCAATTGCTCAGCCAAGCTTTGTTTTCTGGTTTCCTTGATTTTTTTTAAGGGTTTCCTTGAATTACTCCTATTTTTTTCTGGTTTCCTTGAATTACTACTATTCTTTTCTGGTTTCCTTATAATTTTGCTTAGATGCTGATTTATTAGGTTACTATGCTGATTTGATTGCTAGAAAATGCAGGAAAATTGAAGAAAATTTTGATATTTTTTGTGGTTTGATTAAGTGGTCATAAAATGAAAACATTTAAGGATTGATATGGTCTCTCTTTAATTCATTCAAAGTAGAATTTATCAATCTAGAACTGGTTGAGCATTATTAATTTGGATCATATTATGATGTAACTCATTATTTGAATCCCTTTATTAGGGCTTAACAAGCGCACTCCCTCGGAGAAACTTCGAGAAGCATTTTCTCAGTTCGGCCGAGTAGTTGATGGTTTGTCTCCCTTACCTCAAAAAATTTCGGAAATTGTCTGAGATTGATAACCTTTGGTCTTTTTTTTGTGTCTACAGCTAGAGTGGTGACTGATCGAGTATCGGGATACTCTAAAGGGTTTGGTTTCGTAAGATACGCCACCATAGAAGATGCTGAGAAAGGCAGAGTGGGAATGGATGGCAAGGTTAGCTCCCTCTACTTAAATGTTCATTTCCTTGAGGAAAGTTTTTGTGTTCGTTCATCCATTTCCGATCTCTTTGTTTCATTTTGAAGTGTTAAGATTATAATTTTGGTTTGAAGAATCGTTTTAGAATTTACAGTTAAAAGTTTCTTCGAAATTAAATACGTAAAGTGCTTTTATAGAACTGTTCCAGGTTATATCATTGATGAATGATGATAGAATGCGGAAACTGATATATCTGCATACACTGCCTCTCAGCTTTCCCTGATCTTGGTAACTAATTTCCTTTGGACCACTGCAGTTCCTCGACGGTTGGGTTATATTCGCAGAGTATGCAAGACCTCGGCCAGAACGAACTCCACCTCAGAATAACATGTCTAGTTCAAATGGCTATAATTCTTATGGCAGGGAATGAGTTCGATCCTGAACATGCCTTTTCATTTCATCTTAATCGGAGACGGGTTTACACGGGCCGGCGTATCATCTCTTACCAGGAGGAAATTAATTATGAACTATGGTATTGGCTTGAATTATAGGAAAAACAATAGCAGGTGTTGAACCTTTAAATTATTATTTTTCATGGATTTTTGTTGTCAACCAAGAACTCAATTGTATTATTTGGTATTTCTTTTTACCTCTGTGCAGGCTCTGATGAAATGAATTTAGATGAAATAAAGCTATCTCCTATCAAGGTGAATCTAGGTTTGGGCCTGGTCAAGTGTTGGGCTTTGATCCAACAATCCTGGGCCAATCTATTATTAATATTAGGGTAAAATATGTAAAGTCTCTCTCAAACATAGGACATATTTTGTTGTCTTCAAGTATGAATAATTAGAAAATGATAATCTTATTTAAAAAAGCTAACAATTTTTTTTGTTGTCTTTAATTTTTAGGGTGAACTACACATTTATTGCCCCAACTATATTTTTTGATTTGTTTTGGTCATTCAACGTTTAGCTTTGGTATCATTTTGGTCATTTCTCGTTAAAAAAATTAACAATGATGTTGATATGTGATCACAAGATAATGTTATGTCATTATTAAAAAATAAAAATGTCATGATTGTAGTTCTGTTAATTTTTGACGATGCATTACTAAAATAAAATCAAAATGTAATGTTAGAAGTATGATTTAAAAAAAATTATTTAGGTAATCAAAACGAAATAAAAGTGATAGTTGGGGTGTTAGTCTATTAGTTTAACCTTTATTTTTTAATAGGAGATGATGTAGTACTTAATAACATTGGCATAATAACATATTTAGGCCCCAATTTTTATACTTAATTTTAATTTGATCTTAATTTTAAAAATTCAATCCATTATTATAAATTGGACTATGTAACTATTTTACCCTTTATTCTTTCTCTTTCTTTTATTTTCGGGTTTCCAAAATTCTTAAATGCCCATCGTTGGAAGCAATTTTTTTTGTTATAACCATTGATATTCGATCTATTAATCGATTAATTTATATCGAATATTTTAGAGGCAAGAATGATCCTTCTAACTTAGTTTGATCTATTCATAAATGTCAAAAATTTGAAATTTTGATTGTTGCATGTTGTGAGTACTATATATTGAACGCAAAATATGTGCAAGTATACGCAGTCGCACAAGTAATATAGAGGCGAGAATGATCCTTCTAACACAGTTGCACGTAGTTGGTTTAGCTAAGAGTAAGCTAGACTGTTGTACCTCAAATAGAAAGTCCTCGGCCTCTTCTTTGTTATCCTCTTCCAAAGGCTTTTCATAATCGTCCAACTGTATGAAATTACTGTGGCAAAGTTGTTCTACTTCCCCTTCTATCATTAAGTCCAATTCCAGAATGCTCTGTCATTCTTCAGAATCATCCACATACTTGAGAGAACGAAAAACATTCATGGTCACATTGTGATCAGCTACCCGCATAGTGATTTCACCATTCTCACAATCAATAAAGATGAGACCTGTGGCTAGGAAATATCTTCCCAAAATTATGGATGCATTGGCATCAACCTCACAATCAAGTATAAGAAAGTCCACTGGAAACACAAATTTATCCACCCTCACTATGACATCTTCGATCCTTCATCCGGGACGAACATGAGATCGATCAACTAGTTGTAAAATAGCGGAGGTAAATCTTGCATTTCTCATCCCAAGCTTCAAAAATATTGACTTGGGAATTAGATTCACACGACATAGTGTTTTCTCATCATTGTTGTCTCCTATAGAACATGGAATGATGAAGCTATCTGGATCTTTTTGCTTTGACGATAGCTTGCTCAATGCGGAGCAAAATTCTTTTGCCATGGCAATTGTCTAAAACTTCTCGACTTTTCTCTTCTTAGTAACAATCTCCTTAAAATATTTGGTATAGGTAGGCATCTGATCAATGGCCTCTAGGAGTGAGACATTGATGTAAAACTGGTCAAGAATGTCAACAAACTTATTAAACTGGACATCATCTTTGTGTTTTTTCAGCCTTTGGGGAAAGGTGGTAGGGGTTTGATTTCGTCTCCTGATGATGTGGGAACTACTTTTGTTGTTGCATTTCTGTCTGTTCCCTCAATAGATTTACTTGTTGTGCCTTTATCATTGTCCTTCTTCTCAAGGATCTCTTCTTGCACTTCCGGTTTTGCTTGCATATTCATGGGGGTGAATTCATCTTTCTTATTTCCCCTAAACTTATCATTTTGATTGATTTGGGTGCCACTTCATAGTGTAAGTGCACTACATTGCTCCTTTCCATGAGGTTTAGTGACTTCAGTTTCACTTGGTAGTCAACCTGGCTGTCTTTTTGTATTGCTGCGACAATATGGCCAACCTGACCCTCCAAAGCTCGTAGTGATGTGCTATGAATTTGCAACAAGGTTCCTTGATTTTTGATAGCTGAAGAATGCTCTTGCAACATAATCTTTGTACATGCTATAAATTCTTGCATGGTAGCTTCCAACAAACTTGTATTTGATGAAGATGTTGATGCCTTGTTAGAATTATGCCAAGGTATATTCGTTTGAAAACCTTGGGGCTCGTTTATATTTTGCTACCAAGCGGGATGACTAGAATTAATGGCTCATTGATTTCCCCACGAGAAATTTAGGTGCTAACGTCAGCCTGGGTTGTAGGGGCTGTTGTTGTTGCTTCAGTTGAAATTCCCCACGTAGTTGATGTATTCTTAATTTTCAGGGCATTCACTCTCGTGGTGATTGCCATGGCATAGCAAACATGCAGAACTAGCCACCTTCACTTCTTTCACCTCATTGGAACGTTTTAAGTTCTTCAACATATTTGTGATAGTTTAGAGTTGGACTGACACTGAGTCCTTAGCATCTAGCTCAAATGTTCCTGGTGTATTCCTCCCTATTCCAAGCCTTGAAGAAGGAAATTGGTAGTCATTGTTGGAAATCCTATCATGAATGTCAAAAGCCTCTTCAAGTGATTTGTTTAGCAAAGTGCCATTTGTTGAGATATCTAGCATCATCCTGGTGGGTGCATTGACTCCATTGTAAAACATCAACACTTGAGTCCAATCTTGAAATCCATGATTAGTACACTTTCGAAGCAATCCCTTATAGCAATCCCAACACTCATACATAGACTTGTCATCAGCTTGACGGAAATATGCTATGTCATTTCTGAGTTGAGTGTGCATGTTCGACATATTATACTACAACAAAAAACTTTTACATAGACCAGGCCATGACTCCATCGAGCCGGATGGAATTTCACTCAACCAAACCTTCGCTCGGTCATGCAAATAATATGGAAATAATTTAAGCTTCAACACATCTTCATGCACTCATTTTTACCTATAAGAGTCACAAACTTCCAAGAAAGCACGAATGTGTTGCCTGGCATCTTCATGAGTCATGCCACAAAATTGTCTTATCGAGTTCAACATGTTGAACATGACTGGTTTTAGGTCAAATTGGGCTACCTGAATCTCGGGAGCTAAAATCCCTGGTTGAGATCATCCAATATAGGAGTTAAGTGATCTCAAATAGCTCTAGATTGAGGTACATTCCAGTATTCTGATTTGCCTCAACATTTGGATCTGCTGGATCATGCACTCGTTGAACTCTTTGGTTCTGTATGCCGTCTAAAAGCAGCCGCAATAGCCAAATATTTGTTTATAGTTTTGATTCTAACACGTCTAAAAGCAATCGCAATCGCAGTCGCAGTATCTAGATATTGTTGTTGCCAAAACAATGCAAGTAATGACAAGATAGCTGAGAGAGAATATTGCCATTATTACAAAGTAGGTAAACATTAACCAGAAATAAACACAAACCAACGGACGAGAAGGAGTCTGTTGTCACACTACAACCCTTATGCTTAAGCATATCTATGCACTCAATTATTTGTTGGAGATTTTCACTTTATTATTATCCTCAATGTGATATATACATGCTTGTTTAGAAACAAGATAATTATCTGTTATTTAATTCATTTATATCTTAATTTGATCGATATCTTTATTATTATTTTTATTCGTCAAGGAAATTTCATTTAAAAAATTAACTATACCCGACTCAATTATATGCCTCATTAAAAACCTCCCTAATCAGATTTAGAAGCAAATCATATTGTCTTGTTTATATCCAAAAGGGAAGTTGTAATAACTACACCAGGGTCTTGCCTTCTTGTCCAAATCAGATTTAGAAGCAAATGTGACAAATCTTGGTACCATAAATTGAGTGCTTCATTGATTTTCTCCTTGAATCACAAGGAATTGTGGCACCCGAGATTCAGACAACCAATTTTTAGCTCAAACCTGTCTTGTTCAATATGCTAAATTCCATAGGGCACTTTGGGGGCATGCCTAATGAAGACGCCAGACAACATATTAGTAACTTCTTAGAGGTCTGCAATTCTTTCCGACAACAAGGAGTGCATGAAGATGTATTATAGTTAAAGATATTTCCAAATTCTCTGCGTGACGTAGCAAGGACTTGGCTGGGTGGTGTTCCAGCGGGTTCGATGGAGTCTTAGACTGATATGTGCAAAAGTTTTTTGTTGCGGTATAATCCATCGAGTATGAACACCCAATTAAGGAATAATATTGCTTCTTTTCGTCAAGCTGGTGACGAATTAATATATGAATACTGGGATCGGTATAAAGGATTGCTTCACAAATGCTCAAATTATAGTTTTCAAGATTGGACTCAAGTGGTAATGTTCTATAATGGAGTAAATGTGCCCACGAGGATGATGTTAGATGCCTTAGTAAATGGGACATTGCTCAATAAATCACCTATAGAGGCATTTGACATTCTGGATAGGATTACCAACAATGATTATCAATTCCCATCTACAAGGCTTGAAATTGGGCGAAAAGCGCATGGGGCATTCGAGTTAGATACTAAGGATTTCGTGTTTGTCCATCTAGCTGCCATCACCAATATGTTGAAGAATTTGTAACAACCAAGTGAGGTGAAAGAAGTGAAGGCAACCAACTTAGTATGTTTATTATGATATGCAATCACCATAAGAGCGAGTGCCCGACCAATAAGAAATACATCAACTATGTAGGAAACTACAATCGAAGTAACAATAAACCCTATTCCAACACCTATAATCTTGGATGGCGTCAATATCCAAACTTCTCGTGGGAAAATCAAGGAACCAACAATACTAATCAGCCCGTTAGGCTGCAGAATTTAAATGTCTCCCAAGGTTTTCAAACGAATATGTCATGGCATAATTCTAACAAGGGAGTGCCATCTTCATCCAACACAAGTTCATTAGAGGCCACAATCCAAGATTTTATAAAAACCACGAAGACCATCCTGCAAGACCATGCTACCTCCATAAAAATTCAAGGAGCTTTGCTTCAAAGGCACAACTCATTTCTGTGGGTGTTGGAGGGTCAGGTTGGTCAAATTATTTTGGCATTACAAGAACGTCAACCAGGTCATATGCCAAGTGACACTAAAGTCACTAAACCTCATGGAAAGGAGCTATGTAGTGCACTCACTCTACGGAATGACACCTAAATCAATATACAAGACATTTTTCAGGGAAGAATAAAAATGATTTGCCCACTGTAACTGTGCCACCTGATCATGAAGTGTTAGAAGAAATACAAGTGGAGGAGGATAAAGATGAAGATTCTTCTAGTAAAACTATTGAAGGACCAAACAAAAATGCCATAGTAAATGTTATTCCCGTCCCTTTATTAGAGGAATTCAGAACCCCACCACCTTTTCCACAATAATTAAAGAAACATAACGATGACATTATATTCAAGAAGTTTATCGACATTCTAGACCAACTCAACATCAATGTTCATTTTCTTGAAGCTATAGAAAAAATGCTAACATATGGTAAATTTCTAAAAGAGATTGTTACCAAGAAAAGAAAAGCTGATAAGTACGAGACCGTTGCCACTGTAAAAGCATAATGCTCTGTCCTAAGCAAGTTGCTGGAAAAGTGACAAGATCCATGTAGCTTTATCATTCCATGTTCAATAGGAGAAAATTATGTTGGGAAACACTATGTGACCTTGGCTCAAGCGTGAACTTAATGCCTAAGTCAATCTTTGTGAATCTTGGAATAGAGAATGCAAGACCCACCTCTGTTATCTTGTAACTAGCCGACCGCTCCCATGTTCGTCTTGAGGAACGAGTCGAGGATGTCATTGTAAATGTGGACAAATTTGCGTTTCTAGTAGACTTCCTTATTCTTGATTGTGAGACTGATGCCACGACGCCCATAATCATGGGAAGACCCTTCCTAACTACTGGGCATATTCTTATCGACTATAAGAAGGATGAGCTCACCATGAGAGTGACCGACCAATGTGTCACTGTTAGTGTTTTCCATACTCTCAAGTACATGGATGAGTCTGAAGAATGTCAGAACATTTTCAAAGTGGATTCATTGAAGCAGGAGAAGGTGATCAATTTTCCATGATAATTTCATTCACTTGGAAAATTATGAGAGCTTCATTAAAGAAGAAAGTGTCGAGGAGCTCAATGACTTTTCTTTGAAGGTGCAACAGGCTAGCTTTCTCATGGCTAGCCCAGGTAAACGCTTTGAACCTCTTGATTTTGATGCGTTTTTTCCTCCTAAGACCTCATTACAACATGCACCTACCCTAGAGTTAATAAATTTGCCACAACATATTAAATATGCTTAATTGGGTTGTGATGAAACTTTAGATGTTATTATTTCCTCTGTCTTTACTCCTAACAAGAATGTAGTTTGTTAAATGTTTTGTCACAACACAAAAAAAAAAAAAAAACGTTAGGATGGACTATGACGGATCTAAAAGGGATAAGTCCCACTGTTGGCATGCATAAGATCATGCTAGAAGGATGCCATGGCAACTCCATAGAACCACAAAGAAGACTAAACCCAATTATGAAGAAAATAGTGATGAAAGAAATCCTCAAATGACTTGATGTTGGAGTGATTTACCCCTTATCTAATAGTTCATGGGTGAGTATTGTCTAATGTGTGCCAAATAAGGGAGGCACAACCGTTGTGACTAGCGATGACAATGAGTTGTTGCCAACAAGCTGTCATCAGGTGGAGGATATGTATGAACTATCGCAAACTAAACAAGGCCACCAAGAAAGAACAATTTCCTTTGACCTTTATCGACCAAATACTGGATCAATTGTCAGGTAATGCATTTTACTACTTTTTATACGGATATTCTAGGTACAATCAAATTGCCATTGCACCAGAAGACCAGGAAAAGACTACGTTCACTTATCCCTATGGTACTTATGCTTTCCAGATGATGCCTTTTGGACTTTATAATACCCCGAAAACTTTTCAACTTTGCATGCAAGCTATCTTTTCTAACGTGGTCAAGGACTTCCTAGAAAATTTATAGATGACTTCTCCGTTTCTAGAGATGACTTTAAGAAATAGCTCGATAATTTGAAAAAGGTACTCAAGCGATGTGAGGAGGTCAACCTCGTGTTGAATTGGGAAAAGTGTCACTTCATGGTGACCAAAGGCATTGTGCTAGGCCATAAGATCTCTCATAAGGGCATTGAAATGGACAAAGCCAAAATCAAGGTGATTGAGAAGCTACCCCCACAATATCTGTCAAGGGCATTAGAAGCTTCCTTGGACATGTTGGGTTCTATAGAAGATTCTCAAGGACTTATCCACGATATCCAAGGCACATTCATCTTCGATAAAAATTGCCATTACATATTCATTGAGCTAAAACAAAGGATTATCTCTGTACCTATCGTGGTTCCCCCCGATTAGACGTCACCATTTGAGCTAATGTGTGATGTAAGCGATTTTTTCATGGGAGCTGTGCTTGGGCAACATCGAGGTAAATTTTTTTATGTTATATATTATGCTAGTCATACCTTGAATGAAGAACAATGAATTACACAACCACTGAGAAGGAATTACCTACTGTGGTATTTACATTTGACAAGTTTATGTCATACTTGATAGGCACCAAAGTTATTGTTCACACTGATCACTCAGCTATAAAATACTTAGTGAACAAGAAAGATGCCAAGCCTAGACTCATTAGGTGGATATTACTATTGTAAGAATTTGATTTAGAGGTGATAGATAGAAAAGGTACTGAGAACCAGGTTACAGATCATTTATCTAGGCTAGAGAATAATTCCGAATGCAATGACATTTTAGATATTGAAGAAGAATTCCCTGATGATAAAATTTTATATGCCACGATAATTTCGTGGTACACTGACATAGTAAATTTTATTTTTAGTGGTATTTTGCCTTATGAATTGAACAACCAGGGCAGGAAGTAGTTCAAGCATAATGCCAAGTTCTACTTTTGGAATGAGTCATATTTATTCAAACAATGCACTGATCAAATAATTCGACGTTGTTTCCATGAAGAGGAGCAAATATACATTGTACACCATTGCCACACAACCCCCTATGAAGGCCATTTCGGAGGTACGCGAACTACTGCTAAGGTCATCCAATCAGACTTTTATTGGTCTTCACTGTTCAAGAATGCTCATGAATTTTGTAGAGTGTGTGATAGATGCTTTCATACTGGGAACATTTTCTGGCGACATGAAATGCCATTGCAAAATATTATGGAGATTGAGCTCTTTGACGTGTGGGGCATTGACTTCATGGGACTATTCCCATCTTATTTTGGAGAGTGTATGTCTTGCTTGATGTAGACTATGTATCTAAGTGGGTTGAAGCAATTGCAACACAAAAAAATGACTCTAAAATCGTGCTCAAGTTACTTCACAAGAACATCTTCACCAGATTTGGAGCGCCTAGAGCCATCATCAGTGACGAAGGAACTCATTTTGATAACAAGCTAATTGCTAAGGTATTATAGAGATATGGAGTATGACACAAAATTGCCATATCATATCATCCACAAACCAATAGGCAAGCTGAAGTGTCGAACTGAGAGATTAATCAAATCCTAGAGAATGTGGTGAATCCTAGAAGGAAATATTGGTCCCCAAAGCTTGACAAAATGCTCTAGGCTTATCGAACATCATTCAAAACACCTTCGGGAATGTCACCTTTCAAGATGGTGTATAGGAAAGCATGCCACCTACATGTAGAGTTAGAGCATAAGGCATATTGGGCTATCAAGAAGCTTAACTTTAATGCGTAACTAGTTGTGGAACAACGATTACTTGATCTGAACGAAATAGAAGAATTTAGAGAACAAGCATATGAAAATGCCAAGCTTTACAAAGAAAAATCAAAGAAGTGACATGATCGAATGCTTTTTACAAGGCATTTTCATATTGGCCAGTAGGTGCTCCTCTTCAACTTGAGGCTGAAGCTCTTTCCTGGCAAACTAAAGTCACGATGGTATGGACCCTTTGAAGTACACCATGTCTACCCTCATGGCACTGTTGATATCAAGAATATAGATGATGTGACCATTTTCAAAGTTAACGACCAGCGTCTGAAAGCTTATCAAGGATCTCTGCCCTTGCGTGACAAATCGACACTCTTCTTGCAAGATGTCAGAATTTGCAGAGCATTTTGAAGATACCATGACACTTTGGATTTACTCCTATGCATAAATAAATGTTTGTGTTATTTTATCTTATTTTATATTCGGTTATTTTTCAGTTAATTACATCATTTTATTTTTGAGGGACCTATGTGGATAGTATGCGAGAACCGTACGGTTATGGACATAGGATTGTGTTGCACCAAGAAAAAATATGAGGGAAAATCTTCACTTTTTACTTTTTGAATTTTTTTGGTTTACTTTTACATTTAATGCTTTTGTCTTTTTTCCCCAACCCACACCCCCATCCACCAATTAAATAACCCCTCGTTTCTCCCATTTTTATTTTATTTCTATCTTTTTACTCTCTTACTCTAACTTCATATATTCTTCTTTTCCCTCCTTCAAACCACACGCCATAGCCGAAAAACTTCAATCTTTTTTATCTTTTCTTTCTTTTGTTAACAAAATAATGGTGCACTCATATCCTCCAAGCATGGCTCCTTCATCTCCACTGTGTTTCATCGATGAAGCAACACAAGAACGGTTTCAAGGACTCAAAAACCATCGGGTTTTCTTTGAGTTAGGCTTCATCTTCTCCAACGCTGAAGATGCCGACCTTGGAGAATATGCCATGGACATTGTTCCCCAACACAAGTGGAAAAAATTGGCTAGGCATCCGGAGAATGTGAATGTCTCTCTTGTGCATGAGTTTTATGCTAACTTAACTGACCCAAATAACAATGCCATGGTGGTTCACGGTATTTCTATTCTCTTTACCCCTTCGGCTATTAATCGTTACTTTAAATTGTAAAATATTGTTGATAACCACACCACATTTGCAAAGAAGGCAAATAATGAGACTTATCATGGCATATTGGAAGAACTCTATTTTTCAAACACAAAGTGGAATGGGCAACAAACCAGCCAACGATCGGTGGATCGTGGAAGGCTATAACTGAAGGCTAAGTTGTAGAATCATTTTATGAAGCATAAGCTTCTCCCCACTGACCACAACACCATTGTCTCACTACAAAGAATGCTTCTGCTGCACTATATTTTGGTGGGACATTCCATTGACATAGGGAAGATAATTGTGGAATAAGTTCATACTTGTTTGAAGTGACCCGCCAGTGCCTTGGTATTTTTAAACATCATTACGATACTCTTCCATAAGAAAAAGGTGCCCGAGGACCAATTTGACAAAATATTACATGGGTTATCGTGTATTACAAAGGCCAAGATACTTATGTTACTAGGATTCAAAGAAAATAAGAGCAAGGAAAAAGAGGATAGCACCTCCCGTGCTGATGCAAACAAGATGCCCTGACAAAAACTAGATGCTCTAGAAGAGACCACTAAACAAACCGAGGATCACATGGCACAACTGACTAGCAATCTGATGACCTTATTTTCTTATATGTCAAGCGCAAGGATGAGTTTGTGGTGACTGCCTTCATGGAGCTCCTCTCGTACATTGCTCTTGATATCCTAGTCTTCCCTGATATGCTCTTACGTATCTCTATGGATGTTGCGACATCAGTAGATACTCCCCAGCTTGCTGATGATGAGGAGTCAGAAGATCCCGATCCAATCCACTCAGTACCAACAACCAAACACCAAGAGACTGAGCTCCAGTTATCAACCTTGCCAACTCCCTTGCAACCCATAGAGCCACACAATGCAACACCATCAGAAATGCCATAGAAATTCCCTATGCGAAGGAGTCGATGCTGTTTAAATAATGTGTTTAAGCATGAGGAGCCTCAATTCACTCCAATCCCTAAAGGCCTTTAGACCCTCTACTAAACCACCAATAGACTCTGAGCACTCTATCCCTACTCCATTTCGTAAGCGTCCGCGTCACACATTCACCACAGCACGACCACCATAAAAAGTCAAGGTACTTTGCATTGCATTACATAACATAACATGTAGTCTAGTTTTAATTTAGTTTTTATTTAGCATTGGGGATAATGCTTCTCTCAAGTTTGGGGGAGGTAGGGTTCTTAATTCATTGCATGATAGTATTAGTAGAATAAATATGCCATGACATTAGTAAGTGTTCAAATTAGTTTTCTGGAATAAATTAATGATGCCCGATAACGATGAACTCTTTACGGCTGTAACTGAATGTACATGACTGTTGAGAATGATAACTCTAGGGCTTGCTTCTTTGTAACTTTTTTATACACGATTGTATGTTTTCCCTTATTAAGAAACTTAGAATTTTTTTATAAGAGAACTCTTGCATGTCTTGGAATAAAACTTTGACAATGCCATTGAATGATGAAAACCCTACATGTTATAAAAAATTGATGAAATTATGAATCAATGCTTCGGTATAACTATAGAGGGACACTTTGCTATGCTATGACATTGACTAGATACTACATTTAAATAAATGGTAGCCATGGCATATGAGTGAATGAAAGTAGTCACGGGATGACTATACCTGAATAGCTTGGGGGTGGAAGGTATGCTCCCTTTCACCTAGAGTGTGGGATGGTTGGTGTAATGGGTTGACTCCCCTGGTAGCAATATAAAAAAGAGAAAACATTGTGGGAGTAAAATTGTATTCAATTGAATACTAAATTCCGTAGCAAAACAAGAGAGCTTGCTTAGAAATTTTCTATATTTGTTAAGCATGAACTGAATACAATCACACACACACAAAGGTTATTGCCCTAGGGAACAATATTTAGTTTTTCAAACTAGTATAGTGTGTTGAAGCCAACTATTTTTAGGGCTAAAATTCTATTCCATATGACTATCTTGAACCTGAACTTGCCATGATATTTTTTTTACTATTATCCATCGCTCGAAGACAAGCAATAACTTAAGTTTGGGGGTGTGATAACTCTGTAAAAAGGTTATATTTATGGCCTTTTCACTTAAGTTATTAACTGTCTAAGAGCTCATATAGGATCATATAGATATATTTAGGAGCGTATAGTTGCATGTGGTGGTAGTATATTTTACCGTGGTATTTTATTTTGAAAACAATGATGCGTTATGGGGAAGATGTTTTTGTCTGATGATGTACAGGATTTGGGAGGAAGGATAAGCACGGATAATTTTCATGAAATATTGGGAATACTAAGCAGAATGAAAATGCCATCTCAGATGACATTTCGAAAGTGAGAAAAACAAATGAAAATATTTTTCTACCAGCTATCTTTATCTTCATGTATCTTCAATTGGCAAACACCTAGGAAGGAACATCTGCCACTTTGGTTGGCTGATCTTGTCTGCACGTACGCCCAGCTTCCAGCCACCC